ATAAATATATATATACACACACACATATATATATGATAGATTTTCATATATATGTACATATAGATTTTCATATATATATACATATACATATGATAGATTTTCTCCATTGAAAAATAAATTAATTTAAATAAAAGAGCGTAACTACATCACCAACAAAAATAAGATGCAGAAATGTAGCCCTGAAGTGTTGGTTAACCATTTCTCTGAGGTTTTTTTCTCCTATTTTTGTTTACATTAAAGACATTAAAAGCCTATTCAGTGAACCTTAAAGTTTAGGTAGGAAGAGGCTGGGGATTTAGCCTGCCTCACACGTGCAAGGTCCCGAGTCTGATCATCGGTACCAAAACAACAAAAACAAAAATAAAGTTTAGGTAGAAAGACAATATTAGCATAACTGGGAAAACCCTTTGGATGGTCAGAGAAGAAATTCAGACTTTAGTATTTCAAAAATGTGATCAAATTGGTATTGATTCTAATATGCTTTTCTGGATTCATATCTAAAAATATATAATTTTTGATATATATGAAGAACTTTACTGGCCATTTATAAAATTTCTAATTTACCTACCTGTTTTTGTTTCACTGCTTAATGTTGTAATCACTGGAATGGATGCTGCTGAATTTGAGAAAACAATGGAAAAAATAAATTTTACATGGAGGAAAAGCATGCTTCCAAGAACATCTACGTTTGCAAATAAAACAGATGAACCTGAGATTAATGTTTCAGAGAAATTTAATCACATAAGCGAAGAAAGCTAAAATGTGAAGTTAAAATTTTAAAACTGAAGATCACAACTTTTAAAAACATCATTTTATATAAATTTTCCCTAAAACATTCTTTAAAAAAAACAAAAACAGAAAAAATTGATTTATTTCCTCTAAAAGTGTCATTGCAAAGGCATTTCCTGACAAAGTTTAGGGAGTTATTTAAAAATCCCCTATTGTTTAAACCGCAGCTGAACATTGCAGTTACCTGTGCTTGAGCTACTGGTAACCAAGGTAAGTGCTGTGTAGAGGAGACAAAGAGTTGAAGATGTCAGTTAAAATGGTACCTCGGGCCAAGGTTTAGAAATACTTATCTAAAAATGTTTAGAGGTCTCCAGAATACAAATAAATGATCAAATGTATCAGATTTGTTCATATTTCAATATATTTTTGTACTCTGCTTTAATTATAAACCATCCAGTTGAAGTGAAATGTCCCTGGTTTTAGTAAAAGAACTTCAAAAATGTAACATCATATTTTCTGGTATTGCCACTTTCTCCTAATCAATAGTATGCACAATATTCTTCTTTTAGGATAGATAACCTTTGGATGAGTACAGCGATGCTCTTCACTGAGCTTACAATTAGATGCACCACGCTACTTGGCATGGGCATTCGGGAAATGAATGAATGAAGACTGTAAAACTGGAGGAAGAGTCACAATACTGCTAATGTAAACAGTAAAAAATAATCATGCATTTCTATATTTACCAGCTTTGCTGCTTACTACGGAGGTACCTGTTGCAGTGGAAGCTGTCCAGGGAAGACAATATTTGTAAAAATAGATTAGTTGAATAATTTTGATAGGAAATTTACTTCAAGAACCCCACTGCCATAAACTAAAATTAAAATTTCTGAACTTATGCATGGAGGTTGTGACCAAATAACTTTCATTTACGTGATAATTTATACTCAATACATGACCAACAGTAGCAAAAATTTAAATAGCATTTTCAGAAGGTCACCTAACTATAAATATACCACTAAAAAACATAAGGTTTCCAATCTCCTAAAGAATGCCACCTCTGAATACCAATCAACAGGAAATTACCTTCCTTAAATCGTGATAAGTAGGAATATGTGGGTATATTACAGCAATTTTAAGTGCATTTATACTGCTAGTCACTTCAATGTCCCAAAATTGAAGTTAAAATACTTGTCATCCAGTATTCTCCTGAATGGACGTGAGCAAACTATGTTATTGCTGAACATAAAAACATGAATTAAAAAGAAATTCACACTTCATCTCTATATTTTCAGATCATTCCCAGTGTGATCATTATTTTAAACTATTTACTTCACTGATCACATTTACTTTTTCTTCTTCTTTTCCTCTGGTACCAGGGATTGAACTCAGCACCTTGCACTTGTGAGACAGGTGGCAGAACCACTGAGCTAAATCCCCGACCCTGATCACATTTACTTCTATTTTATCAGTTACATTAATTATTGCCTGAAAAAGTCTCTCTTTAGAGGATGATACTTAACTAATTAGCAAAGAATATTTGTGTGCTAAGCATTTTCCTAACTTAATTTGCAGGAATATAATGAAATAATATTCTACCATTTCCTAGCAACTTAATTCTAGATTACAACTTTTGTGTGAGTAAATCTATCAGCATATGTGTTTACTGTCAGAGGAAACTATAAAAACTGGTGCTAAAACTATAAAGAATTAACCACAAAAAATTAAATACTCATTTAAAACACAATGATTTTACCTGTAGATGTGGAATTTCTAATAGTCGTTTCTGAAATAATAAAAAAGTATTATTATTGACAGAAATTTTTAAAATACCACATCTCAAGTTGCTTGTAAAGTATGTGTCTCTTTATTTTACTTTTATAATTCCTAATACAAAAAAGAAATAGGTTATGTATTCTTTTGAAACTTAGTGAGACTTATTTTTAAGGTACATTCTGCTCCCAAGTAGCCCTTCAATAATTTAATCCTTTCTATTCTCACCTTCTACTCCATCCCTTCATTAAACTGTTTTGACTGATGAAGATCTCTTTTTTTTTCACCTCAATTGCCAGAATTACAAATGGATGAGGTCACAGGAGCAGGAGACCCACTTATGAAAATCAGCTGTTGCCCCTCTGACAGTGATTCAAAGTGTCCCGGTAACAATGGTTTTGAAAAGTGACTCTCCCAGTGATCCCTAAACAAAGGTGTTGTGTGAATCCCACCCAAGGGGCAGTCAATGCTTCTCAGTGTTGATGGTGAACCAGTAATGGCAAACCTCTGAGAGATGTGTGCCCAAAATACAATCCAAAACCCACTTACTTTTCACAAAGTGCCCACACTGCGATTAAACCTGAGTACTGAGGTTTTAGTTTAGAAAAATAATTCATACATCCACACCTTTGTCTTAAAAGAAAAACAAATGAGTGCCATGGGTTAGATAGCACTGGTAAAGCCCTTATCTCATCTTTCCTCAATCAACTAAAGCAAAGCGTTAATGACTCACCACTGCACTGCAACTCCCCCGCAATGCAATAGCTGAAAGTTAAATTGAAAAGAAAAAGAATGAGTTTAAAATTTTGACTGCTAGTGGTACACATCTCACTAATTTAAGACACCAAATTCTAAGGGTAAAACAAATAGAACCAAGTAGAAAAATAAACTATTTTCTCCCTAAGAGCATAAAGCTAATGCAAATTGCGCATTCTTTTCTTGAACTTTATGCCCAATCATTTCAGTAAAGAGTTCTTGGGTCCCACAGGAATCGGTTATAGTCAAGCTGAAGCAGCAGATAGTATGAGAAATAGCCTAGCCTCAGGCTCATAGCAGGCAGGATCCCCTCCAGGATTGAAGACTTCCGAAGCTTCCTGCTTTAACCACACTTCCTTGGCATTATAGCACAAGCCGGAGGGATACAGTCCTGCCCTTCTCACATTTCTTGACATCTGGCATGAGCAGAGGGGCATGTATTTTAACTGCTTCTGAGTAACTAAGGATAACCCCACAGTCATTAAAACATCATTAGCATTGCAATTTTGACCCACAGGGTGTGGGGTTGGCAGCCCTACTGATTCTAACTAGGCTGTGTAAATTCTAAAACTCCCCCTCCTGATATGCCAGTGGAAACTCATTTAACTGGACAGAATTCCATTAGATGCCACCCCAGACTATAACACCCAGAAAAAGTTCCAATAAATACCTCACACCCTAAAGTAGACTAGTCTGAGTCAAATTCATTTCAGTCTTCTCAGTGGCCTCCTGTTGCCCTATGGAGTACATTTTCTCTCAAATAAATCTCTGCCTTTTTTTCTACTTCTGTGTGCCCTACTGAATTCTTTATCAAGGATATGAAGAACCTGGCCATCAACTGAGAATGAGACCACCTGTGGTAACAAACTTGAAGTTAGGTCTCACATTTTCAGCTTTAAACAGTGTTATTTGACAGTCACACTGCCCGAGTATGACCCCTTCCATGTGCTGCCATGTTTGAAAGCCCGTAAACATGAGCTCAACTTATAGAATCACAACTTTGTTTGAATCTAAAACTACACTGCGACATTTTCTGTCCTGATTTCTATTGTTAAGCACAAGATTAACAAACCATTCGTTGATTTGTGAATTTTCTGAAAATACAATAACTAGCATAACTGATATAAAATTGAACCTAAAGTCTTCTCCTTTAGAAATGACAGAATTATAATTTATGCACATGCATACATACATAAAAGCACACACGCACGCGCACACACACGCACACACACAAGTTGTCTGCTTAATTTTCTAAATTAAAATGCAAGCCAAAAGAATCCGAATTATTAGAAAGTTAGTAGAGAATGTACCATGTTTTTCCACAGTTATCCTCAAAGACTCCCCCTGCTGGGATGACGCCATTGTAGAAGCAGCTGCACTTAGACAAACTGACACATTTCATGGTGTTCTCATCCAGATACGGAGCACTTTCTGGACACCTGGCATAGCAACCTGAATGCAAAAGTGGGCCACAGTTCATCCCCGTTTGATGACACTTATCACACTATATTATGGAGTGTAAAGTTACTTCAGTGACTCCATGAAGGGAAGGGGACAGTAACAAAATCTCAGGCTCATAATGAGAATGCAGAAATGGAATAGGATTCACAATCTTTGGCAGTGTCAAATGGAAGAACTTACAAATTTTGATCAATTTCATTTTCTTTCTAAAATGTTTCCCAAAATATTTTTAAATGATCGCTACCTTGATGATGGGCATGATGGTGAACACAAAACAGGTTTTGGTAAATACATACTTTGAAATGTGAATGCCGAGCAGAGGAAGCTACAGAAATTACAATAAAAAGGGCTGAAAATATCCCAAGTCCTAGGATTTAACACAGGTATGGCTTTGGGAAGTTTTGGTGTCATCATCCTCTGTCATTTTTTTCATTTTCCTCTAAGGTATATAGTGCTAAGATTAAATGTGAGAGGCAGTTATTTGGCCTCTGTTTAAGCAAGACTATATTATATATTGCATCCTCAAACTGCCTTGTATAGTGAGATGTACAAAGACTGACAGTAGGACCATAGCACTATCATCTCTTCTTTTCTCTGCCTTCCTTTCACCTCCAATTAAATAGTTATTTGTCTGCAGAAATTGTTTCTAATATAGAAATATTGCCATAAGAAAAAGTTCATTAAATTACAAAAAGTGAGACAATGAACTGAAGAAAACTAACATCTCAGTTTTAAAATACCAGTACCATATTTGATAATTAGTAGATATGTCTTACCTTCTAAAAGTGAGGAAAACTTCCGGCCAATGACTTGATCTTTACAAGTTTTTGCAGCCACAGTACCACAGGGCTCGTAATGCCAGTTGAATTCCCCGGGAGCATTGTAATAATCACAGTATACAGCTATAACGGAATGTATCAAGTCACTTTCATTCATGACATGGCAGTTTTCACCTTTCATTTTCCAAAGCATTTTTTTAAAAAAGGATCCTGAGCGATATTACTGATAGACTGCTCTACTGTATTATCATTCATCAAGTTCCTTTGGTTTTATCTAAATTGCCATTTATGTCACTTATGGCAACAAAAGAGCTCACAAAAAAAAATGGGGAGCTTCTAGACTTCAATTACCTCTTTCTTCGACATCTCACACCAATGTTGGATGAGGTGGAGAAGTAATCTTTTTTTTTCATTTGAAGATAGCTCAGGTCATAATCTAAATTTTTATGGTTTTAAAGTTCAAGCTTCAATTGGAAAAATAAATCTGTGGGGAAAATTATGCTGTTTTAATCCGTAAATCACAGTTCCTAAGTGAGGTAGCTAAAGATGTCAGTGTAACATGGTGTGGCCCATTATCCACTGAATAAAACGAGCCTATTCCAATGCTTCTCACTTATCATATTTTCTCTCATAACACCCTGCTTAGAAGGAGTCGACTCACTTCTACGGAAGTTATCATGTTCCATATACATCAATAGTCATTTTATAGTCAATATATAGCTCTTCAACTGGGGTCTATAAAAATTCTCAAGGAAACAAAATGTGTGAGGATTTCAACCAAAGTAGTATGCAAGATAATGTTCAGGGATGTACTAGCATGCAAAGATAGATTAATAGTTCACTCTTCACCTAAGAAAGGATAAGAGATTCTCTGTCAGTGTTCAGTGGAACTCTATGAACATATTTTTTTTAACTACATTGAATTTGAAGTGCTGTGACAGGTATCATATAATTTTAAAGTGAGGTATTCTCCCTAACATAAACACATGTGTTTTTAAGGCTTTCTAGGCTCAGTAACATGGGCTTTATAGAAAGAGGAAGAGGATATGTGTTCAGCAAAACAGTTTCAGCAGATTACATAGGTAAGACGACATAAGGACTTCACTTACGACAGAGGTTTGGCTTTCTCCAGGGGACACAGACTCCAGCTGCATTGCAGGTTTCTGCGTACATGGCCACCACAGTACAAAAGCCAAGGTACTTGCCCTCCATGTCACATGCGCAGGCTTCCTCAATACATGCGTTATAGTAAGTGCTGGGGTCGACCTAGGCAGAGCACAGGCACGTGAATCTCTAGGAGAAAACTCCTGGCCAACAATTCTTCTGGAACTCTCCTACCTTGCTGTGACAGTCTCTGAAGGTGTTGTCCCTCAGGATTTCACACTTCCGCACAGCCCAGTCTTTGCAGTAAGGGTTTGAGTCACACGGGAAACTCTGAGTTACTGTGTCTGAACATTCCTGGCTCGTTTTCCAACTATTTCCAAATTCCAGGGCTCCAGCAGCAATGGAGGCATACCTCGTGGTGAAATCATCCTTGAGATCACCGTTATTATTTCCGCAAAGACCACACACTTTTCCCTGTATAGACCAGAAATGGAAATTTTAAAATGAGTCCCGATTTGGGACATAAAAATGGTTATCATGATCATTTATATGATGTTGTGAATCTATGTTCGATTTCAAATTGAGGGAGGAAATCCCATTGAATCCCAAGAAATCCAGACTACATTGATCTGGTGGGAGGTAGAATAAATGCCTTAAGAACCAAAAATAACTGTATTTGGCAGTTTCAAATTATACATGTTTATACTGTTTGGTGCTTAAAATATTGCTGTAATTCCAAATATACAAAATATGCAACTACCTCAAAAATCATACCACATGATAATCTCAAACAGTTAAATACATTTAAACTAGAATGCCTTTTTTTCCATTTACTTTCTTATCAGACTCTTTACTGTTTATGATTACATGACATTCCCTATTTCATGGTAAGGCTGAGGAACTGTGAATGACTTATTACTATAGCAAAGGCCCCCACCACCCAACTCTCCCCATGAGTCTAAGTTTCAGTAAGAGAACTGACTTTGCTACTTCATTCTTCACTCATGAGCGATACACATACATGCCACTTTGGATCCAGTACAACAGATATTTTTGTGTATTTGTCCCAAATCAGGATTATTCCATTCTGAAGCTTCAGAATCAGGTACAGGCCAACAGTATGTATAGAGTAGGCATTCTCACTGAGTTCACACGCCTCACTTTCTGCAGTTTTGACTGTCGTCACTTTACCATCTTGCAGGACAATGTTCTGATCCTATAAATTAAAAGGTGGAAAAAGGAAATATGGATTTTTCAATCAGAGTTTCATTCAGCAACTCCACAGTCTGAGAGAAAAGGGAGAGGAACTGTACTGCACCTGGAGGGCCACGATGATTTTCCTTGAGCAGGTAAGCCCATCTTCACAGCATGGGATACTCTCAGTTAAAATGCGGAACGTGCCATTTTCTTGACCACAATAGTCCTTTTAAAATTCAGTTATAATACTTTGTGAATATCAGTGACATAGGACTCAACTACAATGTTAGTTTAAGAAGAACAATTCTTAGAGAATGATGTTTTAAATTCAATACGTCAAACACCACATGATGGAATTTTTCAAAGCATAATGATCTAACTGCACTTGTGATTTGGCAACGATGACCAAGTCCAATCCGGTTAACTTGCTTCGACTCAGCCCTTTCCCCAGGATTTCTACATAAGTTTAGCATTTTACCATAGATAGATAAATATTTACATCATTGATTTGTTTCTACATCTTATGAATACTTAAAGGTGTTTCTTCAGCGTTCTGTACAAAAGTTGATATTCAATCAAAACTAATAAATTAATCAAAACAATCCAAATTTTATTCATTAGATAGTACTTAGGAAGCAGCTTAATTGTAAAAGGCACGAACTCTGGACTCAGATTTGATATTGTTCTAATGTGATATGTCCTGCTTAGTAGCTTAAATTGCTTAAATCTCAATGCTTTCATCTGTATCAGGAATATAGTATTATAATGATTAAATATAATAAATCATACAAATTTGCTTGACAAAGAGGCATTTATAAATTGATGGTTTCATTGCTGCTAGTCCTGTTAGACTAATATCCAACATTTACTGGCCTTTAATATTGTGCTCCACTGTGTGCTCTACCTTGGCTTTAGGTGTATTTTACAGGTTCAGAATCAGACACCAAGAAGCTAAAATACATGAGCCAAGTCACACATGGGACAAATACTGGAGCCAAGATTGAACTTGCCCTCACCTCCAGAGCCAGCAACATATTGTATAGTATTTTACTGTCTTCTAAAAGCAGATAAAGAATATTATTTAAATGAATTTTGAAAAATAAATTCCCATCTTGAAAATAAAATTGCCCAAAAGTCACCTAAAAATGAATAATGAAGTAATTAGAAAACCTGTGATAAAACACACTCCTAATTACCTCAAGAAATGAATACTGACAGAGACCATCAAAGCTGTAACTTTGCCCATCGAAAGTTCTAACATGACCGTCACCATAGATGTGGCAAGTGGTCTGACATTCGTTTTGTGTACAATTCCAAGACCCTTTTATACAAGTACTAAGAGGAAAAGGAGGGAGGGGGAGAGAGAGAACACGGTTATTGTTATATGAGGATTCATATAAAGAAACACAAAATAACGTTTTGTTTCGGTTTAAAACTTAATTTGTGTTAATTATATTGTCTGATACTCATTAAGTGTAATGCTATAAAATCCTTATACTTATAAAAACAACAGCTTTTTCTAATATTTAGCTGTTTTTTTTCAAATAGCCAAGGTATGACTACCTCTTTCCCATGAAAACAAAGAACAAGTTGTATATTTCCTAATATCCAAATATAAATGAAACAATAGTTTCTTATTACGCACCATTCATTGCAGCCAACAGAAGTGACACTTCCTTGGTCATATTCCCTTTGACCAAAAGAACATGGGCAGTCATCAGGAAAGACACAAATTCCTTTAGAGTTCCGAACCATTCCTACTGGACAGTAGCACCCACGTTTGCAAGCCAGGTCACCCTACAGGAGCAAATACAAAAATGTACACCATGGGACAAAGCTGTGATCATGCAACATTATCAGACTCCAGTTAAATGCAAAAATATACCAAGTGCACATTTGGGATCTGATTTTGTCAACACATACACATTTGTCCTTCTCATTATCTTTCTTGATAATTTTAATTTCCTTTTACCCTAGAAAAATTAGAAGTTTTAAAAGGCTAAACTCTAGTGCCATGTGACGTACTTCAAAAGCAGGTATGTTCCAAGTGCTACATGTTTTATCAGTTCTTCTCTGTGCCTTGGGATCACTGCAGTCTACATACTCAGCCCCTCCAGAACAATTTTCTATAAGATAAAGGAAGTTGTGGTCAACCAAGTGCCTCTTCATCTGTCTATTTGAGATACATTAGATATTTTAAGCTTCCATCCTGGTATCAATACTTACTTAGGGTTAAATCGATGGGAGTTTGGCAAAGAAGAACTCCAGCCTGACAGACACTGTAAATAAAATTATATGTTTAAACACTAAATTTCAAGGAAAACTAGATGAGTGAGACATTTCCCAGAATATGCATAAAATTTATCAAATTTTAAAATACAGTCTTCAGTACTTAGGAATGTGCAAACACAGTTCTGGGAACATCAGACAACTTCATGGGAATGATGGCTGGACCTTATGGGATAAAATTTAACAATCCTGCTGAGAAGATGCAAGACAGTGACAAAAGAAAGAATAAGATATGTTTCAGCAGCTCCAATGAACCATGTTTGGGTAAAATATAGGGTACACATGGGAGTGAGTGGTAAAAGTAGATTAGAGCCAGACTTGGAGGCTTTAAGTGACTTGCAACTATTTCTATTCTTTAGGTACACAGCAGTCATTAAAGATTCTGAGAGGCAGTGGCATGATCAGAAGAGTGCTTTGCAGGAAACATGGGACAGAGACAGAGGGAGACAGGAAAACAGCAAAGTAGTCATCTCATAGTGCCAGCAAGAGATGATGAGGGTCTGGAATGAGGTAGTGGTGAAAAAAACCATACATTTGGGGTGCTAGTCTGTTTCATTAAAGAGCTGACCTCTTGATGCCCCAACAAATACACAGAGAATGAAAGTATGATCATTAACCATATGTTTGCATATGTTTGTGGACTTTAGTGGAAAGGGGTAACTATGTTTTCTTTCCTCTTTTTTTTTTTTTTATGTGGTACCAAGGATTGAACTCAGGACCTTGCATTTGCCAGGCAGACACAACGCCCTTGAGCTAAATCTCTGGCCCATCTTTCCTTTTGAATGGCCAAGAACAACCATCCATTTCTAAATGATAGCTCCATGAACCTAAAGAAAAGAGAGGAGGCACATCCAAAGATTTTGAAATGGCTACTTCAGTTTTGCAGTAACATTGCCAAGAATTACTCATCTATCTGTGAAATTAGAAAGATAGCTAAATTACTTTGCTCCAAACTTCAGAAATCATAATCTCCTCTGCCATTACAAAACAGTCAAAATTCTTAATTTTTTAGGGATTCAATTTAAATTATTGAGTCCAACCTGGCTGCAATATATTTAGCCCAATACTTTGCAACAACCCACATATGCAATACTTTTCCAAGTATTTTCCTATGAGTGCATTCATTTTACACCACAGAAGATTATTCTCTGTCTCAGTTTGGTCTGGAAAAAATTTAGCCCTTAGGATAATTTAAATGCCAGTCTTCTCTGGCAAGTCACCCTTAAACTCCTCAGGTAGTGACGTACCTGCTCTGTTGCCGTGCTGCAATGTATAATCTCCTCTTAAATACACTGGTTATTTTGTAAGTACAAGACAGTGTACACTCATTTTTCTAACTGCAGTGCTCAGCATAGGGTATAAAACACGGTAGGCATGTGAATGATTTCTGAATGATGCCTGCTGAGAAAGAGCTAGAAAGTCCTGTCTACATATAAAATTGCTTTGCACTGTGAGCTGCCGGACTATTTTCCTAATGGTGTTCAAAACCAAACAAGAGCAGGATCAATTCTGTATCATCACGATGACGCAGGGAGACTCCAGAAAGAAAAGAGGTAATTATCAAACTTAATAAGAAATCAAACATAAAAATATGACAGATTGAAAGAAGACTTTATACCAGTAACCAAAGAGAATGCAGGCCCTTGATTATCCTAACAAATACACATGTCACTCCATACCATTTATTGTCATCAATCTGCATGAGTTTCCCAGGGCGTACAACCTCATCGTTTATGTAGCAGTCACACTGAGATTTCTGGACACAGTTTCCCTCACTGTTCTGGTACATTCCAACAGGACAAGTGCATCCGTCAACCGGAACATCTTGTACATCACAGCTTCTGTCTCTCTCTGACAGGGATCGGCAAGAACTGTTGCAAGCTTTGACATTGTACTTGAAAACTAGGCCACTTGGACAAGATTGTTCTGCGGGTATAGAGAAAATACTAATGATGATGTATACATCCAGGAAAAAAAAAAAGGATAAATTTGCTTCACCTTAACATTTATAGTCGTATAGCAAATTGTTTGTATTTGAGAAAAAGGTGCTTGACTGTTGAGGTTTCTACACTTCTTTTCAGCCAATATGAGGTGTTTTTTTTTTCTCTCATTGAGTTTATTGGTACATTTTAGGTATACAGTATAGTTACATCCATCACTGGGATCTTGTATCTTTACATGACAGGTCTTGGTTCTCATATTTTCCCCTTGCCCCTGCCCTCCCTTCACCCCCTCCTCCCTTCCCCATTTACAAACACTTTATTTCCATTTTTTCATTTTCTCATATTTTTTTCTTTTCCCTTATTCCCTTTCCCCTACACTTCCCACTTTCCCTACACCTTTAACCCTTTTCTTTCTATTTCACATCATCAATTATATCATTAGGATCTTATGTATTATTATAGTTTTTACACCAGATAAACTATTTGGTATTTACACGTGTGTGACTTATTTATTTCACTTAGGAGTATATCCTCAATAGGAGTTTCTATTGTATGTATAGAGGCTCTGCTGGTCATGAAACCCACTGACAGGATGACACTGTACTGCTCCCACTAGCCTCAGGTTCCTCTGGGGGAGACAGCTGTATACACTCAATGAAGAAACAGGACGGGCAGCAGTAAGTATATACAGCTGGGGGTCTGTAGGGGAGGAGCAGAGCGGACAGGTGGGCAGCCTAGAGAGAACTGATCCTATGCCTTGGGTACAGCCTGAGTCAGAGTTGAGGATGACAGCATCAGAGAGCACATGGAAGGGCACATGCTATAAGCCCGGAGAGTCAGTGGTTATAACTGGCAGGGTCATTCCCAGGAGCTGGTCTTTAGTGTTAGAGCTCCGAGAAGCCATTGATTTGTGACATGATAAGCAAGATGCATCCAATTTTAATTTAAAGACTACCTTGGTTCCTTTCTCTATAGAAAATTAAATAGATGGAGATGAGGTTATAGATATTGAAGGAGGCCACTATAATCACCTAAGAGGATAAATGGTAGGTGGTTGTTCTTTTTTAAACTAAGTTAGTAGCAACAGAGATGTAAAGATGTGAAAAGATCTTGTAGGTAACTTGACAGACCTTATCTATTAACTGGATACAAGCTATGAGGTGCTAAGTATGATTTACACGAGGTGTGTTTATAATGTATTTCTTGTCTTTTGTTTTTTTCTTTTGGTAGATGAAGTATTTTTGTGTGACATCACATTCAATGAGTAAAAAATATTTTAAGGCAGAATTTTATAAATACAATACTTAAGCCCCCGATTTACATTTTTTTCAAAAGAAGTTATTAATATTAGATTATTTAAAAATACCTTCACAGTAAGAACATTTAAATTGCAGCATACAACTGAACAGAAACACACACATATATAAATAGATTCTACTCGTATTTATTTCAAATACATAAATATTTGAAATAATGGTAAGCTGATCAAGGGGTTCAAATTCAAAGATTGTTTAATGGTATTTTTAAAAATAGAAAAAAAAATTTTTTTTGAGAAGACAGGGTCTTACTATGCAGTTGAGACTGACCTGGAACTCAATACGTAGTCCAGGCTGGTCTCGAATTCACAGTGATCCTACCTCAGCCTACCAAATGCTGGGATTACAGGCGTGCACCACCACACCCAGCTAGAAAATCATTTTTGAGACTGACCTGGAACTCAATACGTAGTCCAGGCTGGTCTCGAATTCACAGTGATCCTACCTCAGCCTACCAAATGCTGGGATTACAGGCGTGCACCACCACACCCGGCTAGAAAATCATTTTTTAAAGAATCAGGAATACATGTGTAAATGGGTGTGCCTGAATTACACACACACACACACACACACGCACACACACACACACACACACATAACTATGGCGAACCTCAGAAGGGAGTAGAGTTATTTGAAGCCACTCTCTCACTTACCACACAGTCCAGTTCTCCACCCCACTAGGGATGTTTCCTTTTCAGCACATGCTTTCACATAGTTGCCCAAAATTGTGCACAGGCAATCTTGACTGTTTTCACAAGAACAAGTGTACTTTTTGCATTCCTTTAAAATCACAAACAAATTTATATTGTTTTATAATTACCCACAGTAATAGGTAAAGCAGATGTAACGAGTCAACCCGTAATGACTTCTGTACTCTGAAGAAAATCTGCTGCAAATGTTTGAAATTAAAAAAAAAATTCCAACTAGCAATTTATTATTAATCCATTTCTCAAACAATTTAGAAAAGAATGAAGTAAAACTAAGCCTTTTTTCATTCAGGGTTTTTAAGTTAATATACCTAACATTTAAATAAGCTAATGGAATCTAATATTAAATGTAAGAATATATTTTAATCTGTTATTTGAAAAAGGTTAAGATCTATGTGGTTTTACAGATATTAGCAAAGTAATTCTAAAAATAGCTGTTAAGAGTGGTCCGATACTTACCTCATGGTAGAATTTAGGGTTCACAATTTGGTGGCAGGAAGCAAATGGTCCACTTGAATCAAGAAGAATCCCACAGCTATTTTCAGCAAAATTTTCTGGAAAACAATTAATGTGCCCCAAATCAGAATCAGTAACACTGAAAATTTTTCAAGTGGAGGAAAAGATAAATTTTAACAATTTTGTCTTTATTTGAAACAACTGTTTTTCAGTGCCTCACAATAATACATCGAATTTGTTGTCATCATACATGAAAACGGCATGATTAGAAACATCTTACTAAAAGGGTTTATTAGCTTTGGATTTTGTATTTGTTCATTCAATCTCTCTCGGAAATGCAATTTTTATATAAAAATGGGAATAAGGGAGTAAGATTATATCTTTATAATACCTTTTAACTTCAAAATATATATTAATGGCTAAATTGTGACAAGTTAATAAATAAACCCCACCCACATCCCTATCACCCTGGAATACCCCACCAGTTTATTCTGATGTTCACATATTAGGGTGACTAGGACCAGTAATTCAAATACCCTAATGTTATTTTTTTAACTGTGTAATCAATATTTGTTGATTTATAAATATCTGATCTCCTACTAAACTAACAATTCAAAAATAGCATTTATGTATCAAATGTTTTGTTTAATGCGTTGTAGCAATAAAAGAAGTTGGATACATCAAAAAGACACCAAAATCATTTATTTTAAAAATATGAACAAAAACTGTAATAGTACATAAAATCCTAATGAGATAACTGACATTGAGAAATGAGAAGAAAAGGGCTAAAGGTGTAGGGAAAGTGGGAAGGGTAGGAGAAAGGTAATATAGGAAAAATATGAGAAAATGAAAAAATGCAAATAAAGTGTTTGTAAATGGGGAGGGAAGGGGGGGTGAAGGGAGGGCAGGGACAAGGGGAAAAAATGAGAACCAAGACCTGTCATGTAAAGGTACAAGATCCCAGTGATGAAAGTAAATGTACTGTATATCTAAAATGTACCAATAAACTCAATAAAAGAAAAAAATGAACAAATTAGTAAAAAGATATATATATATATGTATCTCCAAAGCAGTGGCATGTAGCCTGCTTGATATAAGTGGCTTGGTTTATGATACATACCCTCTCTTTGACTATTACCACCATAATTGCTTTCACTGCAACATCACAAAAACAAAACAGCACGACAAAACCCTGAAATATTCATTACATGTTTATGTTAATGCTCTTACCAACTCATTTTTCAAATAAAAATAAGTAAATTTTCAAAAGGAATTGCTTTAGCCATTTAAAAATGATCAGACTTTTAAATATGTGGATATTTTAGAAACAACTAACATGTCAATGTAGTATACATATTTTAACCTAGCCTCCCTTATTTATGAAGAAGCAATATGTACATTCAGGAAAATTAACAATACCTGGGAAACTTTGGATTTAAAATACACAGACTGCAGCACCATCTTGTAACCTTCCTCCTCATTATTATTATTAGTATTATTATTATTATTATATTATTATTATTATTATTTTGGTACTAGGGATCAAACTCAGGACCTCGCACTTGGCATCACTGAGCTACATCAAGCCCTTCTTAGAACCCTTATTAAATGCACAAACCAACTATGGGCTCCACTCCCAACATCTACATCGATGAGGAAACAACCTCAACTATATCCTTCCCAAGTTTTCATGGGAATAAACTGAAATAGTATTTGTGAAGATCTTTCTAAACATAAGCTGGCCCAGGCAGGTGTAAAGTTTCAGTAAGATCTGTGTCTGGGCTTGGGATTGCTGATAAATGTGAGAGAAGTCAGGGTACACTTAGACCCAGATGTAGCTCTATCATCCTATGACCCCAGCAATTTGGGTGCATCTAGCTTTTTAAAGCAATGGTGATTTTCATTATTAAATAAAAAGAGAGAAATTGATAAACTAAATGATCACTCAAGTCTTCACTAACCCTCTTATTGTATAATTATGGAGAACACTGTGTAAGGCAGGAAAGAGCATGTACAGAAAAAAACAATGGAGATAAGCCTTCAATGAAGAATGCATTTCCCAGGAGTACAATCAACCAGGCAGGCTGCTTGTCTAATTTCTGCTAAAACTAGGACAGAACAATGAAGACTAGCTAAAGCCAGGATTATCTAATATGTTCATATTATTATCAGAATAAGTTTATAATGCCTAGCACCAAACACTTAGTTACAGAGTCTGCGGTTCAGAAAACATTACCCTTTTCAATACTGATACACGAGGCAGGGGTTCCTTTAGGACAGGGCATCATCTCCCAAGAATTAGCAAATGCTTGAGATGTCGTCTCCAGTATATTCTGACTTGACATGAAATCATCCTCAGCTTTATTGTTGTAGGAACCACAGAGTCCTGTGATATAATAATAACATAGGCACAGGTTAACATCTTCACATCTACTCCGCTTTTGGAATTTTATCCTCACTTCAGTTCTTTGTTCAAATTAATACGTGTAGAAGCTACCTGAGAATATATGCGGTCAGTCACATATATAAATATATACAACTATACTTATATATGGCTATATACCCATATATGACTATGCATGTAGATAGATGTAAGTATATACATACATACACACATATACACACACACACATACATACACACACACCACATAAGTTCAATTTCATAACACCAAATTTCATTCAGGTTCTCAACCCATCCACCATTTGTGCTTTTCCTGTTTGCCACTCTTCAACAGAATATTAGGAAATCTGTTTACAGGTAGAAAGCTTTATGACCGCATCTCCACAGTTTTGGTGAGAAGAGATGAATCACATCCAAGTCTATGCGTCATTCTTACCTGGAACCTGAGGCCCACTTAGTTATATTTTTTCCTATGTGTAATAATTAAATAACGTGTAAAGAATTTCTCAAGTAAAGATATATCATAAAAATTTCTATCATTTATAAATTAATAGCTCTGAATGGGACTTGGTATGATTGTTTTGAATGTCTTCTTCCACTCCTATAGCTCTATGCATGATAGAAAACCTCGGTGGAAAAAGACACATGATCCCATCAGGAAGACAAGTAAAAATACTGTGTTTGAAATAAGATTTTCAAAAAATGCATATTTTCATTTACTAAATTACAAGTCAAAATCTTTCTTTTCTCCAGACCTTGCACTTGGGAAGCAGGTGGTGGAACAACTGAGCTAAATCTCAGGCCCCAGTCTTATTAATGTATACAACTACCAAAGTTACACACAACACATATTATCAAATCTCATTGAAATGAAAGCTCTAATTTGAAATTTTTTAAATGTTTAAAATGCTGAAAATCTTTTCAGGAAAAGATTCTATAATGAATACGTAACCTTATTATGAAAAGAAGGTTGAACTATTTTACTACAATGTGAATGGGAAGATTAAATCAATATGCTTTATTTTAGGATCATTAACTGCCACTGAGCGCCATTCATTGTCACTGAGAGACAAATGGAAATTAAATATGATGATCATATTAGAGTTCTGAAAATAAATACAGAAATACTGAGAGAACTTACCAACAGTGTCTGTGAATTGCTTGGGTGGCATGGAAATATATAATTGCATTACGGGAACTATCTGTATTTGCATTTTTATGTGATTGTATGTTTCCACTTGAAGATATGAGGCAGATACTTTGAAGATCTGTATTTCATCTGTTAAAAATTATTAAAATCAATTATAAGATGTCAAACAGGTTTATTAAAAACAGAATACTTTATCTGTTAAAAGCCAAAATATTTAATATCTTTAAGTATTGAGTGAACAAATGCATCATACACATATTTTAAAATATTATTAAACTTACCCGAATAGTAATAATCCTTAATTCTAACCATATCCTTTGTGACTTTCCCATTACTATTGAAAACATATTTGGCAACTGAAACAGACTAAAATTCAAAACACTTTGTTAGTTCATATTAATTTACAAAATTCATTTTAATATAATTCATGAAATTGAATTTTGTGCAATAAAAATCTTAATTTTATGGGATTAACTGATAAATATCTAAAATGTAGAACCATTTTAAAGTTTCTGTTAAATTTTGCTTTGTTTTTTTCTTATATCAGCTCTGTGCAGCAGATTATAAAGGAATCCTTATTCCCAATTCATACATTAGAAAACTGAAACTCAAGAAGATAACTTAGATTTCCAAAGGTCAAACAGCTTGTAAGAGCGGAGGTCTGGGCTAGTTGTTCTCCCTTCCCATTTATATCTATTTCCACTGAGAATGTTGTTTCCATAAACACAAAGTTTGAAACAAATGCCATGCCTTCTTTCTAAACAGTCCACAAATGTAAAATTCCAGTGACCCAAAATGGATATCTGGGGTTGACCTGTAATTACCACATAGTTGTGTCTTTAAGTAATTTTAATATATTTCAAAATCCACTATCCAGCTTATCCAGAAACTTAATAGGTTTTATATGCAAGCTTATATAAGCTTCCAATTCACATAGTAAAGTCTTTCGAACTCAAAAATTTCTAGTTTGTGAAATAATAAGTTTGATTTTCTGCTGACCAAACCTTAGTATGCCAATTACTTACTGAGTTCAAGAGAAGCGTAACGCTGGTTAAGCAAGTTCCTGTCTGTCTGTCTTGACATGGACGAAGCTCAACACTAATAGACCAGTCTTCATTCTGTGAAAACAAAAAATATTTTTATTGAAATGTTACTGAAGTTATTACTTAGTAGATGTTGTTACTATGTGGTTCATTCAGATTGTTGTAATTTCAGTTATGTGCAGTATCTGCACACAGTCTGCTCTGAAAATACAAACTTCTGTCAGTCCACAGTAGGATCTCAGAGCAGTGGAGAGCTTTGCAAATGCTCTGAGATCCTGAGCAGCTATGTCCATGTAGTCTACAATTTTCAGATTTTCATAATCATGTTTTTCTTTTATCTTTCCTCATTATCTTCTTCTCAAAGGGAACTGGGGTGTCCTGGAGTGATAACTAGAAATTAGTGATCATGCAGCTGTCACTCCCTGGACAGTCCCACTGTTTGTAAATCTAATGGGAAATGAAGTTAACTTGTAAAACTATCATGTACGCCATGGCAAACACTGACTATTATAAGTCTAGGAACCTCTAATTGACAAGAAACCCATATTCTATCTGCTTTGGCATATCTCCCTTTCGCTTTTCCCTATTCTTAATCCTCATGGATTAAAAGAGGGAAAGCATAAAAAAGGGCAAATAAATTATGTTGGTAGGCAATAAAGAAGCTTTATTTTGGAAAACAGACTTTCAAGGCAGCAACTATACTTTGCAAACTACTAGGTATTAATCAGCTTCTCTCACTTCAGGATTCCCAAATTCTGTTCATCTTGTTTCTTACCACAGTGATTAAATACAACTGTTTGCTGACATCAGCTAGAGCTGCAAAGGGGAATCATCCATTCACTAGAATTCAGATTACTTAGCATTAGTAGTGAAAATAATGTAAATGTAAAGTTAGCCTGTCTCATGCTGGTATCACTCTATCACAAAGACTAAAATCAGTTCAAAGGAACAACGGTGGGAACGAAAGGAGCCTCCCTGAATAAGAAAGATGATTTTATTTGAAGAACTAATAAAGCATGCAAATCAAAGTAGAAGAGTGAACTAACTTCCCAGTGTAATTAAAGGATTATTAATGAATGAAATGAGTTTTAGACTTTTCTGTGCAAGATATTTTCAAAGAGCACAGTTAGTACTGATTCAGTATTGACAAGCAATGATATCAGTGCCAATATGTGAAATAAAACAGATATTGAACATACATAGCTAGTAATTGGGAGGAATTTTTTTCTTTAAATACTAATTCAATGCAGAGATTTGCTTGATAAATAGCTTAGTGTATGTATCAAGTTTCTCAAGTGTTCTAAGCTGTTACGCACATGGATGGCCAAGAAATGACAGTTTCCAGGATGGTGGTATTTATTGTCATCAAAGGTGGTAAATAAACTCCCTTCCACCTTACATCTTCCAGGGCATAAGGAATCAGTGCAAGACCATTTTGCATCTTGGCACGTGCTGCAAAACACAGTGATTATGGGAAAGGTCATCAAATGTATCTTCTCTAACGTGAAAACAAACATCACCGTATCAAACAGATAAGTACAGTAAAAGCTAAATAAGCACGCTAGAATTAAATTGAGGTATAAAAATATTTTTATATGACACATCAAAACATTGATCCCAAAAGAACTTTACAAGGCCACTCCCCATCCAACATCTCAGCTGTGATAAAACACCTCATTGATCCTGGTATTTAAAAAGACTTCAATTCCTTTGACTAAAATAAGTTCGGCATGAATTAAACATGTAAAAATGTAAGCTAGATTGGAAGCACTTGGCCTCCACGGAATACATTTCATTATTAACATCAAAACACTTACTGCATGGCACATTTGTAGACAGTACAATAGAGAAACATACCATTTTAAAACTATAGCTAGGCAAATTAAGATCTGCTATAAATGTAAATAACAGATTTTTAAGACAGTATGCATAAATATTGTAAAATATCTTATTAACTTTATTCTGTTAATTTTATGCTGAACTAGTATTTTGGAGGTACTGAATGATATAAAATACAGTATTAAAGTTAATTCCAACTGTTTGCTTCTTTTTCCTTTTTAAAATATACCAAAAAATGTTAAATTACATATGTGAACCATTTTTGTGGCTTATTTTTTGCTCAGATAAGACTATTATAGACACTCAACAGAAATCATGATTGTTCTTATTAATAATTATTAGGGGTATATTATTACCACAATGACTATTTATTTACAGGGAAAATGTTACATCTTAAATAATGGGTTTTTTATTGAATCCAATTGTTTCCTATAAGGATGCAATATATTTCTAGAAAAGTCTTCTGCAATCTTGTAGAAACAGGAAATTTCAGAGAAAAACTATGATGAGGAATGATAAAAATCTCACTGATCATATTGTTGCAGACTCAAACTGACTAACCAAACAGAAAAATAATCTACACTAAGTTTTGACAAGTTAAAATTCACTCCATATTAAACAGTGTTTTGAGTTTTACATCATCGCCCCAGCTTGGACTCAGAGCCCTCTCCCCTGTGCGGCCTCTTCTGGAGCTGTGTCATTTCCAGCAGGCGCCACTGATTGGCTCCGACAGAGTGCCAGGAGGGTTACCCCCCCACCCCACTATCAGATCCCCTGATTGAGCCAGTCCTTGGATGCACTCTGCAGAGGCATGGTGGGCTATAAAGGGTGGTGATTGATCCTACTGTGTTCCTGATTGTATCGCTAGGGATAAAGGATAGGGATTGATTTGACGAGTTGTTTTCTCAATTATGAAAATGAGAATATCTATAAGTCATTAGAGAATCAAAGGGTGGGACGCAACGATATCAGGAAGATTTAATGACCCAAAGATAGAATCAAGGGCAACCCAACAGCAAAAATAAAGATGAAAAAACACTTAAGCAAGCCACAAAGACAGACTTCCAGTCCACCAATGGCAAACAGTAGGGCAAAGGAGGATGAAAAACCAGATAGTGAACCACGAGGACACTCAGAACTCACAGCACAGGAAGTAAAAAAATACTGATCAATCAGGCTCTAGAAAAATTTAAAGCAGAAATAATTTCCCAGATAACCATAGACATGGTGAGCAAATGAAAGTCATGATTGGAGACTCTAGAACAGAAACTGACAAAAAATAGATGAGCTTAGGAACATAATAGAAACTATGAAGGCCCAGAATAAGAAAGAAATGGAAACAATGAACACCCAACATAGGAAAGAAATGGAATCCATTAAACAGATTCAAACAGATATCCAGGAGATTAAAGACTCTATTGAAAGTGTACGCAACAGAATAAAAGATTGTGAAGATAGATTTCAGATATAGAAGATAGGATCACAGTCAGGGACTGTGAAAAAGAGGTCTCTCAAAAACAGTAAGGGATCATGAGAAATCAATCCAACAACTTCTAGACGATGCAAAGAAAAATAACATAAGACTGATAGGAATACAGGAAATAGCAGGAGAAAACACAAATGACTTAAAAAAAATCTCTTCACAGAATTAATGACAGAAAACTTCCCAAACAGAAGGGAAGAATTAGACATACAGATAAGTGAGGCATATAGAACTCCAACTAGCCAAGACAAAAAAAAAATCTATACCTAGACATATAATAATCAAGATCCCAGAAATCCAACAGAAGAACAAAATACTACAAGCAGTAAGAGAAAAGAAACAAATCACATGCAAAGGAAAGCCCATCAGAATCACAGCAGACTTTTCAACACAAACCCTCAGGGGTCAAAGAGAGCCTGGAGTGAGGTATTTCAAGTCCTAAAAGAAAACAACCTCCAACCTAGACTGATGTATCCTGCAAAACTCTCTTTCAAAATGTTAAGAGATACTTCCATGACAAAGAACACTTGAGAAACTTCATGAATACTAAACCAGTACTACAAAGAATTTTAAACAATATCCTAGAAAAACACAATGAAGATCACAACACCAGGAGGCCCAACAGAGCAAATCAAATAGCCAAGGCAAGAAACTAAAAGGAGAGGACAAAAAATAAAAAGAGTCAACAAAAGGACAATAACATGACAATAATAAGTCAGTACATATCAGTTATAACTGATGTCCATAGCCTCAATTCACCAATCAAGAGAAATAGATTGGCAGAATGGATTAAGAAGCAAAATCCAACAATATGTTGTATACAAGAAACACACCTATGGGCAAAAAGGAGCCCATAGACTGAAAGTAAAAGGATGGAAAACAATTCTCCATACAACAGGAGCCCAGAAAAAAGCAGGGGTAGCAATCTTATTTGCAGACAAAGTAAATTTTAAACTGATTAAGACAGACAAAGAAGGACACTACATCCTTGTAAAGGGAACAATCCAAGAGGAAGAAATGACAATCATAAACATATTTGCACCAAATATAAATGCCCCCAACTATATAAAACAAATATTAAGTAACAAGAAAAACCAAATAACCCCTAATAAAATCGTAGAGGGGGACCTGAATACCCCACTATCAAAAATAGACAGATCATCTAGGCAAAAAATCAACAATGAAATACTAGAACTGAACCAAGCTTTTGAACGCATGGTCTTATTAGACGTCTATAGAGTGTTCCACCACACAAAATCAGAATATACATTCTTTTCAGCTGCACATTGGTCATTCTCCAAGATAGATCACATACTAGCTCACAAAACAGGTTTGAATAAATGCAAAAGAATTGAAGTTATTCCCTGTATATTATCAGATCACAGTGCAATCAAGCTGGAGATCAATAGCATAAGAAACCGTAGGAACTTCACAAACACGTGGAAATTGAACAACACTCTCCTGAACTATCAATGTATCACAGAGGAAATCAAAGAAGAAATCAGATAGTTTTTACAAATAAATGAAAATGCCAATACAACATACAGGAATCTATGGGACACAATGAAAGCAGTTCTATGTGGAAAATTCATAGCACTGAATGTCCACATTAGGAAAACAGAACAAGCTCAAACAAACAACCTAACGATGAGGGAGGGTGGGGATAAGGGGAAAAAATGAGAACCAAGACCTGGCATGTAAAGGTACAAGATCCCAGTAATGAGTGTAACTGTACTGTCTACCTAGAATGTACCAATAAATTCAATTAAAACAAAAAAAGTGTTTTATCACCAGTGTAGCCATATATAGAAATTATTTGAAAAGCATTGAGCTGTTTCTATTGTACATTTTATTAAACATTATCAGCAGAATTAGAATCATTATTTCATTTTTGTAATCAAAATCTTGTGTTATGCTTTGCTTTATATTAGCAACTATTGTGCCAAGCGGCTTACTATTCAAATCACTGTTTCAGTTAGTGAGCAACATTATCTTTAAAGATATAAAGAAAACATTTTAAACCAAAAATACACTAACCTTTTTTAACAACAACAAAAAAGGACAAAAATTACAACACAGAAAGTGCTATGAGACTGCTACTTATTTCTGTAAAGTTTACTTTAAGAGTGCATTTAGGAATCTTTTTCAAAGTAGATACAAATATTAATACTATTTCACTATTAAGAAAATGTGGACAAAGGGACACACACATACCACTGAGAACCACAAGGTCCTTCTCGGACTTCTCCAGGGTTATACATTTTTCCACTGGATTCACAGGGACAACTTTCCTTTAATACACATTTTCCTTTCTCTCCAATATCATCCAGTAGATACCCTAAAGTACATTATGAAAGGTTAATCCAGATATTAAAGAAACATCAGTAAATTGTGCAGTACTCTGTTGTGAAGCCCTTGAACTAGTTCTTTTAAGTATAACAAGAAGAAATGACAATTCCTTGAAAAAGAGTGACTCCTCATTCAAACCCACAGGGTATAGATAACACTTCTCTGAGCTACAGTCATTGCTCCACAGAGCATAGTCTTGGGGAACCCAGCAGAGAAGTAGAGAATGTTGTGTGGAGTCTGGTGACCCTCATGTTTGGAGAGACAGAAAAACATGTGACTTAGATGTTTCTCTAATCCTCCTCAGTAGACTGCTATGAGGATAGATTAGGAATGGCTGAATTGCTGAAATGCCTTGCTATAATAAGAGCCACCCTACTTGCAACTTTAACCACCTTGGCACCAATACTGTCATGAAGATATTACCTTCTGGGCAGGAGCAGCCACTCACACATTCACTGTCTTGAAAAGGAGCCACATTAGAACAAGTTGCAGGATTTGAGAGTCCACATTCTTTATAGATATGTTTTTCTGGGCATGTAGGTTTTTCTGGAGATACAGAAAACATGCATATATGTAAATTAGAGAAACATGAAGGAGACAAATACATAACATTCAAATGAGGGGCTTCTCAAATGGGATTCTTTGCATCTGATTTTGAAGATAGTCAATCTTTAAAATACTGGATATAATTAAAATTACATAAATTTCTCCTCTATTTTATATATTTAAAGAAAATATATAGTGTATGCAATCTCATTTTCAGTTGAAATTCATTATTTTACTCGTGTTATAAGGACTGACCTAACTATAAGTACAAGTATATTAATATTTGTGTTTCGTTACCTTTTGAAATAAAATCATAGTCCTTTTCATTACACTTTTGATAAATTTTCTAGTTTTTCCACAGAATTTACTCATTTTCCCCCATGACTTTTCACTGATGATTATCAAGGTCCTTATTAAGATTTTAGCCTAAAAACTGTGGCTTGAGGCAAGTCACATCACAAAACTGAGTCTCAGTTTCCTCATAAGCAAGTTAGAGACAGAATTTTATCTCTACGATCCTGCTTCCTATGGTTTAGAGTTCTTTGAGAAAACCACTTGGAAATATATTTTGATGTTAAAGTGCTATAGGAACTTATTCATCATTTACAACAGTTGAAAACCTACCACAAGCCACATTGGAATCATCACGCCAGGATTCAAAGACACCAGGCCCATCAGAAGCACAGAGCCGGGACAACTCTGAGAAAGTGTCACACATAGAACTTTTGTCTCCACTTTGGCAGTACTCATTGATGCAGATGGTTTTGTAGCCACTCAATGAAGTGGCTACCTTTTCACATTTCTCAAAGTAAGTTCCAATAATATTGTTACAGTACTATAAAACAAAACATTGTGATTTATTGAAATGTAAGAAAAATAGGCCGTAAGATGAAGTTTCAAAAAAAAGATATATATAGAAGTTTTGTTTTAGCATAATGTCATGTAACTTTGACAGGGAGAATTACTGAACACTGCCTGAAATAATTTTTTTTAAGTATTAAGGTTGATAAAATGACTCCTAAAAGAATGCTTTACTTCTGGCATTTTATACTGCTATATAATGATTTCATGAATTGTACCTAAACTTACCCAAAATGTCTCTAACCATGGTACAAATCTTAAAACGTAAAAAAACAGAAAGGGTAAGAAGAGCTTGGCTAATGCCAAAGATTGGATTGGTAACTGATGGAATAATACAATACACAGAAGGGACTTTATCCCTTCAACTGATGATTTGAATGTATTTGATGAGAAAATAGACAAGCATAAAATACAGTACCTATCTGTTGTCTGTGTGAGTGTGGGAGGGGAGCCATGTGGGCTTACTCTAAACATAACATTTTTTCTATGTCTGCAAAGGAAAGAAAGACACTATACTGAACTAATGCAGTTCAAATTTCAATGTAATACAACTACCACATAGCAGTTTTCTAACAATTTTTATTTCCAGAGAAACACAAAAGCTTCTGTCAAACACGTGTAATTTGCACTGATTGGGCCAAGGAAAGTTGATAACAATCTTTTAAGTCGGGCATAAAAAATATCTTCTTTCTATTGTCCTTTGTGCATCTTTCTCACCAATTAAAGGTTTCTTTAGGGTAAGAAATATAACATTGGCTCCTCTGAGCTGAGCATACTATCTTGTACATATGCTGGTCCTTAGTAAATATGCATTGGTTTGAATATACATTAAAATATCATTTGACTAATGTTACTAAACTACCAGAAGTTAATTTCTAACATGCTATGCAACCACTACAGCAGAAAAAAAAAGTCCCTGTCATCACAGAACTCACAGTCTTAGAGAACACAAGAGAAAAACATAAGAATATTTGTATCTTATTGTTAATGAGAAAAGTACAGGTTGCCAAGGAAAGAAAAAACAATTCCAGCAACAAATATCATCAAGGCTTTCACTAGGAAGGCAGCAAATGACTTCACATACTACCCTGGCTTAATCTGTTTTGCAAGAGGCTCATGAGATCTATCATCACAGTGCAACACAGCATTTATCAATAAAGCGGATGTCTCTTTTATCTATATCATCTACAAGTCTCTTGATCTTGAGAATTTCATTCTAGATTGAGAGGAGAATCTATGTATCTTTACAGTCATGAAATGGCTGCAATCTATCAAATCAAACAGCAAAATAACCCTAACCATAAATAATCAGTATTTTTAACCGTAGTTACATTTCCTACAAAAAAAGACAGAGGATGCAGGGATAATCATTGAGACTGGATAGCTGGGGTAAAAGGAAGGGAGTAGAACATAGTTCATGGATTTCTGTTGTTGGAGGAAAATCAAGCAAATACCCATGCTAAAAATATCCATGATAAAAAAATGGAGAGGTGGACTCTAAAAGACTCTGCAAAGGAAATGGGAATGTTCCACAAATATATAGTAAATACTATATGGGGGACATTTTATCTTAGCATCTACAGCTACACTAAAGCTAAAATACAGACAGACTAGGTCACTGGAGTTACACAATCCTAAGAATAAGGTATGAGTGCTAAGAAGGGGAGCTTTGCTATTTGAAGTGACTCTAAGGGTACCAAAGCTATTATAACTCAAACCTGCATGGTATTGCCACAAAAAGACACAGAGCCAATAGAACAGAATAGAAATCCCTAAGTTAAATCCAAACAAAACAAAAAATGGGCACCAAGGAAGCGCAATGGGGATAGGATAGTCATTTCAACAAATGACGCTTGAAAACAGAATTTCCATGTGCAAAAACTTGAAACTGAACTCTGATCATACACCATATGCAAAGATCAACTCAAAGTAGACTTTTTAAAAAAGTAAATATAGGCCTGGAAAGCACAAAACTCCTGGATCAGAACATAGGATAAAAACTCCTGGACATGGGCTTTAATGGCGATTTCTCTGGGTGTCATGTTAAAAACTCAAGCCACAAATGCAAAAGTAAATAAGTGAGATGACATTGATCTAAAAAGTTTCTGTGCAACAAAGAAAACAACAAAAACGTAGGCTACAGATCGGAAAAAATATTCACAAACCAAAATCTGCATGATCATACTTATATGTGAAATCTTTTTAAAATGATCAAAATAGAGAGGGGAGAAAACAATAGTTATTAGGTCAGGGGGTGGTTTAAATCAGGATATGGATCAGAGAATACACTGCAGCACATAGGCAGGATGGATGAGTCTAAAGGTCTGCTGTACATCATGAAGACTATAATTGATAAAATATTACTCTGTGTGGGATTCATGCTGAATGAGTAAAGTTTGGCCGCTCTTAAAAACAAAACAAAACATGGGTGACTGTGTATGGTTGATGTTAACTTCCAGCACTATAGTAACCTCTTTACTTTCTATATAGATTCCATTATCATCATGGTGTGCACCTTGAAATATACATTAATATTTATTTTAAAAAGAAGCCAATGGGCAACACTGCCGAAAAGTGTTCCCAGATAAAATATAGATTTCTTACCTGCACTCCATCTTCACAAATTTCATAGCTTTTACTGACAGCACTGGGACAATCACCAGGAATTTTACTCTTGACAATGTGCTCATCAATGTCCTGACCTTAAAATGAAAGCATTGTTCAGTTTGAGATATTTACTACACACATACTTCACTTTTAAGCTGCATACAGATTTGGCAACACAAGTGTAAGCTCTTAATTTAACACATTCTTACTTTTTAGACAAATATAAATTCCTGTAAGATTCACCCAAATGTCAAAAAAAATCACTTTATGACTTTCTTTTGGAAAGCAATTGGTATTAAATGTATTGAAATCCTACCTGGAGTGCTATTGAAGTTACCACAGAGGCCACAAGTTTCGTATCGCTTGTGAAGAGTGAGCTTTAAAAAAACACATTTATATTTTTATTAAATAATTGAAAATTTCTCAAGATAAAATACATCCAGGGGCCAGGGATTTAGCTCAGTGGTGCTGCTGCCTGTCTTGAAAGCTCAAGGTGCTGAGTTCGATCCCTGGTACCAAAATATATTTTTAAAAAATTACCCAAACCATAGGAAGAGGTCTTTTTATACTCAATTCTGTGTAAGCTGGTTAGTTTGGGGCACACAAGAGGGGATTTTAAAAATATGGTGATCAATGAGGAAAAAAAATGTGGTGAATGTGTTTTTAAAAACTTTTTTAATGTATTACAGTAAGACAGACATTGCCTTTAATCTCCCTTAAAAGCCTCCCTCTTCACCTCCAAAACATCTTTTATTGTTCTTGCACTTTCTGAAGCAGTTCTGAAGGCCTCTTTCCCATGTTTAGTTGCACTGTGCTGCTGTCTTGATTCAAAACATTTCATGGCCAGTTTGATTTGGGGGAATACCAGAAGTCACACGGTACCAGATCTACTGAATAAGGTGGACGAGGACACACTGTAAGGGTTTATGAGCCTGATTTTTGCTTAATAGCATTTGGCAGTAGCATTTACAGCATCTTTAATCACACCCTGCACTAGGAAGAGTGCATAAGAAATCATGTCCAGAAGCCGGGGGTGCTGGTGCACGCCTGTAATCCCAGCACTCAGGAGCCTGATGCAGGAAGATCACTGTGAGTTCAAGACCACCCTGGGCTACATAGTGAGTTCCAGGTCAGTTTCACCTACATAGTGAGACCCTGTCTCAAACCCGCCCCCCAAAAAGAAAAATCATGTCCAGAATTTGGAACAGGTCCCACGCCTTCTTCCACTTACTAACTGTGTGTCATTAGGGAGATTATCTAACTTTCTCTGGCCTACATTTTCTTAGTTCAATCATCTGCTTAATAAGATTAATAATGGTATATATTCCAACCCATTTTGGATATAAAATAATGTTCAGCATAATGACGAATACATAGAGATTTCTCAACATACCTTGGGCTTTTACATTTCTTATAACATATTTGTTTTTTATAACAGATACCAAAGAACAAAAGGCACAAGATTTTAAGAAAATCGTACATGAACTTACTGAGAGTTTGTTATTTTTGTCCCACACTAAAGATAAGATCCCTCTGCGGCTATTCAAAACATTATATTGTCCAAACTTTTTAATGTGAATCAATTTATTGTTATACGGTATCTGTACCCTGAAAGTATAAAATGCAAAGATAAAAGGTGAAGATAGTATTATTCTAGCATGTTTTTCTAATAATTCATATTTCCATGTTTATTATCTTACAACACTTGCTAGTAAATAATAAAGTTTTCGTCCTCTCATCACTCCAAAACATAGACACTGTAACTCTTTCTGCGGGAGAGAACTGTTAAGGAGCAGGCAGGCCATAGATCCTTGGAACTTTGGAGAAATGAGCAAGGTGAAACTTTAGTACAGTATTAGAAAAAAATGATAAAATAATGTGAAATGTTCACAGTAGTGAATGTACCATGCCTCTTTTGTTATCCTAGAAGTACTAAAAAATGGTTATCCCTTCCAAATCTGACTTGTTAGTTTTGAAAACAATACTCTAAAACTTTCAATCTTTTGAAGGTCTAAGTCATATACCTTTGAATTTATACTTCGTGTTAAACGTGTCAACAAAATTCAAATATTCTGAGAATAGTTCTGTTGAATACACATTACTCAAAATCAGAAAGTTTAGAAGTCAAATAGCAGAACTATTTTTCTCACTTTGTTATAACAATATAGTATCTTAAATTCCTAAATGTAGGAAAGTCTTACACATTTCTCTTCAATAATTTATTATAAATATCATATAAACATCAAAATAAACAGAGTGCTCTCCCTTCCCCATTCACATTTTCTCCCACATCCCCCTCCCTGTCTCTCCGCCTCTCTCTCCCCACTCTGGATAATTGTATGATATTCATCCCAAGCTTTTGTTATTTACCTTTCTTCATTAACTAAAATAGTATCACCCACAATAGATATGTCATTATTGTCAATCAGAACTCTTATTCTTTCAATCTCGCTGTTGTTGTTTCTTTTGATCTCGATACTGAAATCTCCTCCGGATTCTACACAGTGGCGGCAGAATATATATGCGCAGGAAGACTGGAAGGAGAAGATGTGGCCATTGAAAGCTCTGTATGTTCCTCTGTCCCATGTGGAAGCTTCACCTGCACAATGTTCAGAGAAAGGCATACTTATCACAATTGACACACCTTCCAGTTGTTTTAAAAGCATTTATACAGCAAGAAAAAACATCACTGAAAGATGCTAGTCACAGAACTACCAAATTCTTTCTTTCTCTTGCTACCGCAATAGTACAAAATAATAATAATAATAGTAGTAGTAGTAGCAGTAGTAGTAGTAGTAACTGATTTCTTCCTTGAAATACCCAAACTTGGTTATTGTGTCTTCAAGATAATGAGAATAAAAACATCTTGTTTTCCGTGGAAAAACCATGAAGATTGTTTCTAATATGAGAGGAGATATAAGGAGGGAAGTCGTGTTTTGTTTGCTTGTTTTGCTTTTTGTAGAAATTGTCTTCATGTGTCATATGAATGAGGTACACCTTACACCAGGTAATATTTATGTGAATGAAAATAAATTATGTATGCATATATATGTATTTTATGTATTATATATTTTTTATGTTTACCAGGAAAAATAGTACAAATGTCATACCATGCTAGCTACCATGCAATGATCAAACAGATAAGGGATAGACACTTTTTTTTTTTTTTTGGTACCAGGGATTGAACTCAGGTCCTACTGCTTGAAAGGCAGGTGGTAGAACCACTGCGCTAAATCCCCAGCCTGACAAATTTTAAAAAGTACTTTCACATTTTGCTTACTTTGTGACCTTATTTAGGTTCTAGTTTGGGCATAAAACTATGGATACATCTTAGGGCTATATTTACTTACCAATAATCTCATTTGTTTCCGAGTATTTTGGAGTGGCTTCTGGAATATGGGATCCTTTTTCTATTCAACACAATGCACAGATTATTTAAATTTTAAGACATATATTGGCTTAAAATATACAGTCTATTAGCACTTCCACATGGGAATTTGGAAGCTGGTATTGAAAGCCATCAGTGAATTTCTTTATCCTAAATATACAATTTGACTTTTAGAGCTGGGATTTTCCAAAGTCATTCACATGATTATCTCTACAGTTCATATTTTTTTTTCTGGGAATAATCAACTATAGTGAGTTCACAAAGTATTAACAGCTTATTCATTTGGGATCATATGCAATTACTAACATATATGGCTTCTGCTATAGACCTATGTCTTCAATTAAGCCATTTCTATATGAAGCCATGACATAAATATGCCCAAGGTATATTTTTATCTCATCAGTCTCTAATAGTAATTCAATTATGTACTTATGAAGAGAATTCAATTTTACCAGATCAAAGAGGAAAGTATGTAGACCTTGAAATGTTGAACTTCTTGTGATTATTTATTGGTTATGCCTCTCTAACTCAACTAAGAAAATTTATATGAAAGCTTAGGACTAAGCCAACAGAGGGACAACAATACTAAATGTATATATTTCAACAGAACTTTTAAAGTATGTTTCATATTGTTCTTTATTGTCTTCTTCTCTTTACTAAGATTGTATGAAATAGAATATACTCCTACTTATAAGGGCATTTAAAAATAATATATCTAGAATGATAAAAGAGAAGTTTACTATGCTTTATTAAAATTCCCTTAAAATATACTTTGTTTTCTCTTCTTCGTGAAATTATTTTAAGTACTTCATTGGTCACCTAAATGTTATACTGAAAGGGAAGAAGTACTCAGAAGTTCAAAATTAGATACACAATAATATCGTGTCCTAATATGTCAATAATCAACAGACCATTTAAAAAGTGCATGTGTTTGCATGTGTACTGATCTTTAATACCTAAAGTTCATAAATAAAATAACCTGGAGTATTGAGAGATCTGGATTTTTTGTACTCAGATGAGCTTGTGACATCTGTTTTAATACAAAATGATTGGACTGCTTTCTACATATAATTTTATTTGGTAAAATATGTTTTTTAAAATATAGAGCTTGGATACTGCTCACTTGTAGAGGACCTGCTTAGCACACATGAGGCCCTGGGTTTGATCTCCAGCATAATGGAAAGGAGGGAAGGGAAGGGAAGGGAAAGAAACAGAAGAAGGAAGAGGAAGAGGAGGAGGAGGAGGAAAGGCAAGGAGAAGGGAAGGGCCTCACCTCTGAAAGATAAACCTCAGACACATGTTCTGCTAATGTTAACCTTAGAAGAGTGAAACTGTATAAGAAAATAAACCTTCTAGAGCAACAAAATGAAATGAATTTTTACTAAATAACCGATACCAAATTAATATATTCAAAATCAACTGTCTTCAAATGTGTCCACAAAAGAGAAAAAGGGTTGAATAGACCGTTCCAGTCACCCTACACCAGTTTCAATCAAAGTTGCTCCCACTTTTAATTGTTTTTTATTTAGGAAATCTAGGTACTGTTCCAAGATATCAACTGAACAGTTTCCATAGAAACTGGAGCTATAAAAACAACTAATCTAGATGACCTGACATCTTCACTAATGTCAAGAGATCTAGCACCTCCCTTCGCAAAGCCACTAGATTCCTGTCACTGGACACACAACCTTAAGGAACACCACTTACTAAAAATCTGCTTGAGCAATCACATTTGACATGCAAATGACAAAACAATCTCAAATTGGTGACCACTCACTCCACAAAAGAAAACAGGCAGTTAATTCTGAATACATTTCTTAGGAATGAAGCCTAATTTGAATGTGCTAATGGTAGTAAATCTGCAGTTCAAAAATTCAGTACCTGTTAAATCCCCTATATCAAATCCAATTAAACAAAATAAATGACAGTACATAACAAATTATTTCAATTTTTTATGTCTATTAGAGTATTGGCCTAAAAATGATATTTGTAGATTAGCAATAATCAAAAAATAAAATTATCATATTTGTGTGATCAAGACTTTTTGGAACAATCACTGAACCTGAGTTAATCAACCAAAACTACACTACACTATATCTCTTGCTAATTAGGTTTCACTTTGTAATGAATATATTAATTCTTTTTTGTTGTTGTTGTTGTTGTTGTTGTTGTTGTTGTTTTGAGATAGGGTCTCATTATGTAGTTGAGACTGACCTGGAACTCACTATGTAGCCCAGGCTGGTCTCAAACTCACAGCGATCCTCCTGCCTTAGCCTCCCAAGTGCTGGGATTACAGGCATTCACCACCACGCCCGACGCATATATTAATTCTAAAATTTAGCTCTAAACGTTAATTTTGAATATTTGTCAGAACACCCTCTCATTAGAAATGGTCTCCTGCCCACAGTTGTATGCTCATCTCTAGCGGTTTTCTAAGCATTTCAACAACGCAACCAGCATCAAAATGGGTCTCCCATCAGTAATAAATAATATTTTAACTATTTGACCCACAAATTGAAAGACCATTCAATCTAATGCTCTTTTTAAGGGCAAATAGCAAATATACTGAGATTTCTCAAAAGGAATCAAACTTGTTGCTTTTCTCAGGAGTGAACTTGCAAAGAAAACTTAAGCAATCAAGTCCACATTCAGGATAAAAATTTGAATCCAACACAGTTGCTGCTGCCCTACACACCTCTTCAACTGATTCTAAATCATTTTTGCATAAAAACCATAAAAGAAATTCCACACCAATGTGATTACAGATCCAAAATCAGTCTCACATTCTCTGCTGACAAATGTTAAATGGTTTTTACCTGATTGTATTTAAATGTACTTCAACTTGTATGATTCTAGCTTACTTCTTACATTATTATTAATAATGTTTATAATTTCCATTGGTATCTTCAAATCCTGCCTTTCGAATTAGAAGTAAATCTTAATTTCTAAGCCTTGAAACCAGATCCAGTCAAGTCCTTTCCAGTATCACAAGTACCTGAACCACTAATGCCAGTTTCATCAAATTTGCTTAGTCCTGAAGCACTGAGTCCAGTAGAACCCTTCCTTCCTCCACCACGTCCAGAACCAGAAGACCAACTGTTGCCTCCTAATTAAAAAATCAAAATGTGAATAAAGGAAAGAAGGAACAAGATAATTGAAATTTCTTGGAAACAGAGTCCAAGCTCTGATACCTGAGCTACCGACATCAGATCCCAAACTCAAGGATGCAGCTCCAGGAGATCCACTACCATGTTTTCCACTCCCACGACTTCCAAAGATTCCAAATCCTTGGTGACCAAACAGCCCCAGATTGACTCCTGAATCTTCAGAGACACCACCAGAACATCCAACCCCATTTATTTCACTTGAGCTTCCTGCTGAATATAAAATGATGGTTTAAAAAAATCACCCTTGATTCATAATGGCTCTGTGCACATGGAAATTAATCAGTAACTCCTAGCACACTGGAGATAACTGGAGGATCTAGAGCCTTCGGAACCACCTACTATTCCCTTTCCAACAAAGTCTATACCACTATGGCTCTTGTCACCAAACTGACCTGAACCAGCCTCTCTGTGACCAATCTGCAAGCTTTTCCCTTTTTAAAGTCAGACAATCTGATCTTTCCCTCTTATGAAAAAATTAAAATGTAATTTTTTAAAAAATCACAAATGCTCATGCCCAATCTCAATCTCCCTGAAAGCACCTGAGTTAGTAGAACACCTGAGCTATGGGCAATGGAACTGGCACTCCGGGGTCCAGACCCAGCAGAGGCACCGCCACCCTTTCCGTCAGTCCCCCGCCTCCAAATTCCTCTCCATGAAATACTACACCCCAACACCAAACTCCCAATTTCTATCACGTTCACTTCCTCTTCCTGAACTAACTCTCACAAGAATATATTTAATAAAGTTTATCATTCAGAAATTGTGATGCATAGAAACTACTATCAGCAATCACACCACTAAAACCATATTCTTTAGTACCTTTTCTTCCATTTTCACTAAGGCCATTGTCAGCATATAGACTCAAACCAGTATCTCCCAAACCAATTTCAGCTCTACCCTTCTTTCTGCAGGTCCAGTATCAAGGAACCAGGACTTTTTCACTGGCAGAGAAATAAAATGTTAATAAAATGATGCATTAAAATTTGAAATCAATTTAGATTGCACTGGAACACATCCAAAAATTAGACTACCTGAGCCACCAGCTTCAGATCCACTACTGCCTTTTTTTATCCCAAACAAATTCACTGCTTCTAAGTCTCCTTGGACCCAATTTTATAGGATCATGGCCCTTCACTAAATCACCAAATGAGCTCTCCTTCCTTGCACTTGTGGTACCTCCAGCAGCATGTAGAATGTTTATCAGAACACATTCAACAAGTATATGCTTCAAATATTTTTATGCCCAGAAATTAAGCATAACATCTAGCTCACTGAGAACTAGATCTCTAGCACCTTTCATTCCATATTCCCTAAGTTCACTGTCACCAAATTCATTTGAAATAGACAATCCAAGATTCAGTTTTACTCCAGGCTTCTTTCCTCCAATTTTTAAATCTAAAGTGCCAGGCCTTCCTACAACAGAAAAACCAAACTGTTAGGACATAAAACAATAAATATTAGCAACTCAATCAATATCTCAGGAACAAAGACCACGTAGAATACTTGAGCTACCGGCATCAAATTCAAAATCTTTATATCCAGCCCCAGCAGATATACGACCATTCACTCCATTCCAACCATTTTTACTGATTACAGTTCCTTGTTCACCAGGAGCCAATGCACTGGACTCCAAATTTCCAGAGTTACCAGCAACAAATTCATGTTCATGTCTCACACTGGTATCACCTGACTATTATAAAATGACTGTCAGGGTGCACTGAAAAGTACAGAAATGATTATGCACAAATACTTAATAGCAACACCTTGATCTTTGCAAGTGTATCCTCCAGAACAACCCACTTGATTTCCTTCAACTCTTTTGCTATCAATACCAGTATCACCAAGTGAATCCACACTGGAAAGGTCAAAACCAAACTATAGAATCTTCTTTCCCTGCTCCCAGCTCCAAACCAGAAGACCCAGTTCCAAATGATGGAAAAACCAAAATGCTATTTAAAAGTAACCTTAATTGTTATACAACAGTATTAGATGAAAAGTATTTTTAAGTAAGCAGCACACCCAAAGGTTGTAGTTTTACCTCCAGGAGATTCACTGCTGCTAATTTCACTCCCATTTGCACTACCGATTTCCAGTGCCATTTGACCAGATACCGCCAAACCAAATCCCAACTCTCCAGAACCACTGATACTAGATCCTGCCCCAGTTCTTACATTCTCTATCTGCTAAAATAAAAATATTAAAAATAAACCACCATCACCAAAGAACATTTGAGAACATAGTATGGTTCGTTACTATTAATGTACAAAACCCAGTCATATCTATGTCATTGCAACTTATTTTGCAGTGCCTTTATTTCATTTGCACCAATGCTTTTTTTGTTCAAGGCCACCGATGTCAGCTCCATATGAGTCAGCATTACCATAACCAACCTCAATTCATCCTTTTTTTTTTTTTTGGCCAGTGACAGAAACTGAAACAAAATGCTCCCATCTGATGGAAAAGTAAAATGTTTTCAAGAGTAATAAACAAAAAATAAAGGTTCTTTTTATTTTTTTATTAATAGAGCCCACCTCAGAATTCCCAAGCCACAGCTCTTAAATTTACTACCAAGAGATCCTTGCTGTTCTTCTTGCTTCCATCTATGCTCACATCTTTCATAAAACCTCTGACTCAGAAATATCTAGAGAGGTGAGGAATGTAGCTCAGGGGTGCCCTGCCTGCCTGGCAAGCACAAGGTCCTGAGTTCAATTCTTGGTATCAAAAAAAAAAAATACTTAGAGTGACCCTACCTTATTGACCCTCATTTTCTTCACTGGCTTTAATTTCTGAATATAAAAGGCTATTTACACACACTTTTGCAAATTTATTTTCTTCAGGCTTTCTTAGTTAGCTTTACCCAAACCATACCCCATAAAAAAACAAAAGAAAAAAAAAACTGAGCTGAAAACTTTTTGTTCCAAATGACAAAACTTGGGACCAAGGCAGTTTAACGTCTTTTTAAAAACCCAAACCGGGTTAGTGGGAAGGATTAGAAATAGAAACTGGGGTCTCTTTGTCCCAATTCTAAGTTCCTTCACTAAAAACCTGAAATCTATTTCCACCTCAATGAAGTATTCATAATGCTGATTTGTGAAAAAGAGAACACAAATCCCCTAAGAATGAAACATAGTTTATAAATCTTCCCCATGAACTCCTCTAACACTAAAACTGCATTAGGCAAAAATGCCATCATCCATCCTCGTATTGCTAATAAATTTATTTTTCAAAAGCAGAAACTAAGAAACAGAACACCTGTTTCCCTGCTGCCAGAACCAGAGCCAGCTAATCCACTCACTGTGTTCACATCAAATCCCTTCTGGCCAGATGGACCCCCACCAATTTATTTTGACTTGAAGCACTTGCCACCCAATTCCATACCACCAGAGACAATGGTGGCAAAACCAACTGCTGAACTGGCTTCACCTATCATACAAAAATTCAATCATTATCAGAAAAATAGTTATATTCATTTATATAATACAAAATTGTATCTAATTGTTGTTCTATTAACCACCTGACAGTTATTGATGTATTTCTTTAGCTCCAACCCCATGCGTCTTCCTTCTACACAGTAATCAGAGATGCACACAGCAGCCAGTTTACCATGAGACTCGACGGGATTCTGTGAGACAAGCCAAGCACCGAGTCCAGATACGATAAAGTTTCACTGTGTACTATACTCATGGGAAATCAATCAACATGGCAGAATCAGAAAGTAAGGGCAAATAAAGCTCTTTTGATGAGTCACACTTGCTTTGTCTATCTCAAAACATGGAAGGATTAGGGAAATTCTGCACCCTTTCTAAAGATATTTCGACCTCCCATGTACATTCAGTGCCGTTTCATCCTTTTCAGTTACAACCACACAGATTCAAATATTAAATAAGGAAGAAGTTTTCTTTGCCAGGCTCTTTTCCTGCCCATTTTTCATGCTACTACATACTACATAAGAGAAACACTGGGCAAGAACAGCAAAAGGCTAAATAGAGAGAAATGTGTTGAGACAGAAGGGACATACCTCATCCAAAGAAACTTAATCCTTTTCCATACTATTCAGCAAACTGAGGGACAATTTAAAGACAGAATGATGGCGTAGAATAGGAATTATGGTTGGGTACAGATATATGAGTGGAGAGACTTGGAGGATCCAGAGCCTTCAGAAGCACCTACTCCATTTCTTTCAAGTCTAAATGGCCACTGTCACCAAATTGACTAGAACCAACATCTCTGCCACCAAATCCATTTTCAAAGCCATGAAACACTTGAAGCACTTTAAACTGTTCACTCCTACAGTGAAAATGTTATAAAACGAAAGGCTATTATAATTGTGCCAAGGATAAAGGCAGCTTGAAAAATTAAAACCATGAGAAAAAAATGTTAATGATAAAAAAAGATGCTAAAACTCTCTAATGACAGAATCACTGACTTGATGGCACTGGGATGAGTGCCTTTAGAGTCTTCACCATGACTATTACACCAGGTGCTGCAAATGAAACAAGGATTCTCAGATTGCCTCAAATGAAAAAGAAGAAGCTACTGTTTCTTAAGAGAGCCATTATTTCTCTAACTATACCTGCTGGAATGTCTTTTAGCTCTAAATTCCCATTATCCCAAAGTTCTTCCACCCTGGGTTTAACTACTGCTGGAACTCCATTTGCAGGGCTAAGGAGTAGCTTATCAGATTTCTTGCTTCTGTCTGCATTGCCAGCAGAGGAACTTGCAAATAAATGGTCCCCTAATGGAAATAACAGATTTTATTTGAGAATAATACTGCCAACACAGAATGGCCAAAGGAGCTCTGATTATGATTATGATTCTGTGAAAAGGCACATTTTGAGTAAGTTGTACCACTCTGGCAGCACTTGGAGTACATGTACCACTGGTTGACTTAACCACCATATCCATATCTTTTTGTCATGGTTGGAAGAAAACAAGAGAATACAGTTGTGAAGATTTAATAATTGCTGTGTACCACAAACTCTTCTCATGAACAAGGCAGAAACACCCCTATGTGCTTACTTCTCCAATGCAAGCAGAGTGTTCCACCATACTGAATCCACACTTTGCTTGGCTACTGCCACTTACTTAGAGTTGACAAAATTAAGATAACATGCCTAAGTCTTTTGTTGACATCTCTGAGAAGAGAAGATGAACAATTACTCATAAATTAATTGTAGTAGTTACCTCTTCCAAGTCTCACTTTTAATATGGTCCCAACAATGCATCCTCTGAAGATTCATAACTGCAACCTATCCAATAATCTCAATTATTGCTATATTTACCTATTTTATTCCATAGATTGTATAATCTTATAACACACCATATCTACTGCTTATGATGTTGTATCTTTTTTTACAGATTTTAAGCTTTATAGACTGGACATTTCTTTATTCAGAGCTAAAAGTAGTGTTTTATTCTTTTTGTCTGTGTTACATAAGACTTACTTAGAAATATATTATTATTGAGGTTAGTGGAGAAATATATTGGTGGATTGCAATGATCAAAACATGCACTGCTTCTTTAATATTTGTAATTCCCCTGTGAAATAGGTACTCTTACTATTTTTTACTTGAAAACAAGTAAAATGATACTCAGAAGAGGATGAGTAATTTGTCCACATACTACATGGTTGGTAAAAATCTGCCAGAAATCCCTGTCTCTTAAGGAAAATGCATCCTGACCTCACCTTGCTTAAAAAAAGGTTGCTTCAATGATAGGTAAAATTAGATAAAATAAGTCTATCTACTTTACACTTTAAATGTAAGTAAAACATGCTTATATCAAGTAAGTTCACACTATATTTGCATGAGTTTTTGGAAAGATTAGCTTATACTTTAAGCCATATAGAATGGGACAGAAAGAGAAGTAAACATAATTGTGCTCAGAAAGAGAAATCAACAACCGTGTCCCATTCAGCTCCATATGACATGCAGAAATATTGTTAGGTTGGAGGATGAACATGAGGGAGATATATGGACAAGATTTTTACTAAAAAGGGGATAAATACATCATATTGTTCAAAATTAGTAAAAGGTGAAAGACTTACATGATCTAAAGAGAAAGCAGAGTACTGTCTGAAATTAGTAAAAGTCAATGAGAATCAAAAAGCATGAAGTACTAGAGTTGCCAGTGCATCATTTCCTCAAATGTGTGAGTCTCGATCCAGACATGGTGACCCATGCCTATAAACCCAGCACTCAGGAGGCTGAAGCAGGAGGACTACAATGAGTTCAAGGCCAACCTGGGCTTCTGAGTGAGTTCAAGACCAGCCTGGACTACACAGAGTGAACCTTTCTCAAAAAACGAAAACAGGAAATCTCAGTCTCATTGAATAATAATGCTTTTTGGGAAAAGCATGACCTGAGAATCTATGTAGTTTGATGTTGGCTAGGCCTTCCTCAACTGGCATTTAATTCAGTGCCCTTCTAGCCTTAGAGACCCTCAGATTTCCCTCAAATAACACCCAGAACTGGGAGGTTCTCTGAGATTTAGGAATAAATTAAATTCCTCAGAATTTTAGAGGGATTTAAGAGAACTATAGAATTTCAACTGTTCCCTTGTCTCATTGTAACATCATGAATGAGACTTCTAAAAATGTTGAAGACATATGGTCCTATTTAAACAAGGTAACAACCAGAGTTTGTTGTACTTGAAAAAAGAGAAATTCTTGCTCTGTCATGCAGGGGACCACAATATTGACTATGTCCAAAGCAGGTTGTAAGCAATACAAGCTGTCAAGAGTTAATCCCAGTTGGCTTGTTTGATAAGTGAGTCTGGTTGAAGCCTACTTGCTGAGGATAGAGTAACTTGCACCAAAATTCCCTTCTCACAACTAAAACCTTCTAGCATAACGTTCTAATTACAACTATATATTTTGTCTATTCTGTTCCTAATTCAAGAAAGCTTTGTCTTGGTATTTATGAGGCTTGCTTACATTAATTTTCACAGAAACCACATGACTGCACATCCTCACACATAGTACTTCCCTCACACGTAGCTCACATCTACCCCAACAGATTACCAATAAATAAATAAGTGGCTTGGACTGGTCAGAGCCTTTGTCTACTGCACTGGCACTGGTTGTGCTGGTGCCTTACTTTCTGTCTCTTAGTTCATCTTTCAGTTTTGTTTTGTTTTTTTCTCATGCCTGTGTCACTTACTGAGCAGGGAACTAGCACCTACTGCAGAGGTTTCCAGTAACATTTCAGGTAATGTTCCCCAGCACTGTCATTGTTGTATGACTTCAGGAGCCCTATCCACAATTATTATTTTGCTGTCTCTATGAGACCCCTGGCCTCCTGCATAATCTCAGCTTATCATGTTCTACCTCATATAAAATATTTTCCAATTATATTTTATTGTATTTAGGTTGTAGAAAGGAGCAGGAAAATGAAAGTCTTTATATGAAAAAACATATCAAAGTAATATCGGATTTTTGTATTTCTCTATACATTAGCCCAGAATAAAACTGACTCTACATTGATTATAGAAAAAAACCTTATTACTCAATTTCAGAAAGTTTTCATAAAAGCGCTCTTGGTATTCTACTATGGATTATTTTTTATTTTAATCGGTAGGAAAACAACAACAACCACATGGGAGATAGTATTATTGAATCACCTAAATGCATTTTGTAAAGCTATTGGAATGAGCATTCATTTTAATCTAAATTAATCCATCAACTAATCTTGAGAAACAAAAAAGAGTCTTCCAACAAAAAATGTAGAAAAGTGAAACCATAAATTTACATATACACACAAATTTTTCATACATTTAAGAAATTTTGTGAAAGTGAATAACAAGATAAAATTTCTATTTACAATTTTATCACTATTATAAATACTGACAGAATGTTAAAATGTCTATACAGATTAAAAAGAAAACACTACAGTGTGTTGTTTGGAATAATGAAATATACAGGGCTTTAAAAGTTTTAAGTACATTTCCAGAGAAGTCTTCTCTCCAAGGAAAAGCCCTGCCACTCTACTGCTTTTCAGTATAAACAACACAGGAAAATAAAGCAAAATACTTTACCTGCTCCACTTTTCTTTCTTTTTTCATCTGAGGAAAGAGGCAAGAATCACTGTCACTACTAGTGTCTCTCAAACTTAGATTGGACAACCAATTACAACCTTCTTGCCCTTAGAGATACAATCCGAGAGATAGGCTCACTGAATTCAAAACTCAGGCATGAACACACTGCCCCTGGTGTATTCCACTCTAGATAGATGAAGGAGAAAGGCTTGGCCAGTCCCCCAGCCAATCTGAAACAGGACTCCGATACACAAATTGGAATAAAGCAATAACACAATACATTAATTCTTGGATTATTGGAAAGATATTTCAAAGTAATAATTATTATTCTATTGGTGAAGTGCAGAATATTTAGTTAAAAGTTGTTTTATTTAAAAAAAACACTGACTTTACTTAATCTGATTGAAATTACAATTTCTATGTTATGGCTCTTTATCAACATTCAAACACAAATAACTTATAAAAAAGTATTATTGTCACTCAAGTAGATTACCTCCATATCTTAAAAAGTGACATGTAAATTTGTAAGCTGGGCAAGGTTTTGTAAATCCAACTGAATTTAAACTTATAAAAAAAAGTACAGTAAAA